CGCTGGCAGCGCTCTTGCGGTCTGAGACACCTAGCTTTCAATTTGGCGCCATATTCAATTTTATTTTAGACTTTTTAGGGTTATGGGATAAAAAATACACTGGCAAAGCAATTGGATAAATATGTATTGATATTTTGTACACTTGTTACATACAATACACATTGGAAAATATAAGTTATAATAAATAAAATCGTTATTTGATAATGGTGTTTGGCGGACATTTGTCATCGTTATAAAGCAAGGTATCAATAATCGGCTGAACACCTTTATAGCAGTTCAATTACAATTACCATTGATGATGACAACATGATCATCAGCTAGCATGGAGAGAATGCGATGCTATGGCATACGGATGCCGGAGCTGACAAATTCTTAGAGAGGACTACAAGTTTTAAAGGATAACTCCCGAAAACTCGTAGTACCAAAAAAGGGGGTTTTTTAGTTGGTAAGAATCCAACACTACCCAGGGTTCGGAACACTGGGCGTCTTCGCGAAGATTTTTATTCCTCCAGCCGCCGGGCAAACTATTTAATCGACTACTTTTATGTGACGCCGACTCTACATGCGCGTATGGCTTCCGGAATGCCACCAAATTCACGAATTCAAAACTGAAGATGGGCAAGTTTTAGTTTAAATTTTCTCTATTCATTTTCGATCAATTTCAAACCGAAATATTTGCTAGTTTACATAGCATCATAAATTAAAACTAGCAGCTGATAAAAGTATTAAAAAATAATAATCATGTCCATTTAAGGTGTTTGGTTTAAACCTCCTTCACCTGCTTATTGCTTTGGGTGTTGGCTGGTATACTAGGTGTTTTTGTTAGATTACTAATTTTTACTACAAGCATCTTTTAATAATTAATCTCAAGTTTTATTAATTTCTGCAAACTTTGGAAAACATATTTCCAGACAGTAATCTGTTTTGTAAAATTTTTAAAAATCCTCAAAAACCCTGCCCCATTAGAAAGTATAGAAAAATAGCACGCCGATTTTTTCCTCACTCGCAAATTGCGCTTCACAGACTTAGTTTTTTTTAATATTAAAAACTGAAAAATGAGAAATATCGCAACTGTATATGATGATTTAAAGCGAACATTTCAAATCTACGGATTTCGGACAAACTCTATCTTGTAGAAAATTCTAGAACGAACAAATTTATGAGAAAACATTTTTTCTTTAAATGCATGCTTACCGAGTTATATGAGCTTGTTTCCGGAAAAAAAACGCGATTTTCGATTTTTTTCACTTTTTCGTTTTTTATGCAAATAAAATGCACACCTTTTTAAGCTGACGCACCTCGATATTTTCAATAGATGTGCCATTCCCGAGCGATTCCAATAGTTATATAAGTTTCGTCACGTTAGAGCCCTATTTGAAAATTTTCGTCGTAATTCTCCTGGCCCATTACTCGTTCCAATTTGAGTATAATTCGGAACGATGCTCAGGTCGCTCACGACAAAAGAGAAGAAGAGCAAAACGTCAGAACACAGCTGATCTTTGTTTTGATGGCTGTTAATTTATTTTAGTGTCTGTGTGAGTGAATGTAAATATTTTCAGTTTATGTGTTTTCTTTAAAATCTTAGTACATTCAGTACATTTTCCAATTGCTTTAATCATGAGTCTCGTCGCTAATATTTTACAGGGCGCTTCTAAAGTAGACTTGGATGTTATTAATCGGAATATTCCAAGCATAAGAAAAGATATGGATGTTCTGAAAAAAGATGTTGTGGAACATGTAGAAAATGTGCATGTTAAATACAGCCAGAAGTAAGTAAATTGAATGCTGAAGACAAAGTACTATATAAGAATTCCTATTGCAGAAGTAAATTGAACAATGCCCGACTGAATGAACTGTTAAGATATCAACAGACCTTAGAGGAATTAAAGAATAAAGGCGAGTTAGTACTGAACACAGACCTGAATAATGCTGAGAAGGAACTCTCCAACAACATGAACGAGCTGAAGGTCACTGCTTATAAGCTGCAAGTCTTACTTAGGGTGCAATCAATACTAAAGTTACTTGATAAATTTAATGATGATCTTGGGCGTTTGCACTATGTAAATTGTGTCCATTCTATAAAAGCATTAAATGGTATTTTCGAGGCTATTCCGACAGATGAATATCTAGAAGCTTTGTACACTCTGAAAGGAGCGGTGGCTGACAAACAGAACATGTAAGTTAATTATGTGAGTAGTAAGTCTGATAGTTAACGACTAACGCCTAACGCCCATAAAGTCATGCATTTATTGTAATTGATTCACCCAAGATGTCTAGTTAGTTCGCTTTTAAAGTGTGGACATTTTTGTTAAATTAACAAGCATTTAATACATTTTATCTACATCTGTTAAATAATGGCTACGATTTGGCACTTTCAAATGTCATAATGATGTTTATTACCGCACTAGTAATTTTTCCAATTTACTGCACTAGTGTGGTAATAAATCTATTGATCACTGTCAAAGTTGTGTCTTAAAATTGCACATTTTAAAATAAGTTCAAGCGATGATCTGCCATCTGATATTGAAAACGAAGCTTTTTTGTTAAGAAAAATAAAAACGTATATTTTGATTTAAAAGTGTTATAATATAACACTGGATTGATTTCTAAGAGAAGTATAATAATACGTCATAGTTGTTTTGTATCAATTAGAATCAAATTATGGTTAACGCTAAAATCTGTAAAATTTTTTTAATACATTAATTTATAGAAAACAACTGGTAGTAAAACGTTTTTTTCCGTTTCTTTAAGTTTTTGCTACAGGTGGACATGAAAGGTTATGCTCGTGAGCGCCATCTTGCATGTTTAGTATTTATGGCCTAAAAGAAAATGGTTTTGGGCGAATCTTTAGCATATTCGCGTTCTACTTGATTTATCAATTTTTAACATAATGCTTCCACAGCTTATCATATATCATATATGTATATCATGATGATATGATATATAAGCTGTCGGACTTCTTAAAACCAAGCCTACATTTCACTTAAAAGTCGATTTTAGTTCCTATAGTCTATTATTATTATTATTATTATTATTATTATTAGATATTTAGATTCAATAAAATCTGTATTTCAGATTAATTGAAAGGTTGCAAACTGAATTTTCTGATAACATTGATTTGCAACACGAGAACTCGACTACAACATTAAGAATTAGAAAAGAGAATGAGGAAATGAAAAATATTATTTCTGCATTGGGCTGTTACTCTGAGTGCCTAGAACCTTTACATTGTTTAGCCAGAAAGCTGTGGGAGGATATTTTTATTCCCATTGTGAATGAAAACTTAATATTGGAAGAAAAAGAAGATGATATGTTCGCTTCGTTGGTTCTCTGTTCCCAATCCAAGGAAAAGACAAATTATTCAATAGTATTTGACAATCTGGAGATAGTTTTAAAATTCTTAACAGTCAATTTTACTTATAATATATCAGAATCTAAGACTGCCTTGGAGTATATTGGCGGCGATTTTAATGATAATCTGTCTGAGTTGATTGTAAAAAATTGTTTGAGAGACACCATACCTTCAAACGTGGATGAACTGCAGAGGTACAACGTGATAATTGATGCCACTGAGAAATTGGAAAAAGCACTATTAAGTGAGTAATTTTTAAATGACTGAATACATATTTTTTAATATTAATATGCCCTATTTGTTATCATTTAAAACAGTACTCTATTATGAAAGAAGTGTTTCACATCTATACGAGTAGATATGTAAAATGTTATAATTTAGAAATTTTTTCTTTTTTTTTAGAATCTAATATTTTCACTACACAAACAGCTTCAATTCTTGAGTATGTTAACAATGTGGACGTGCTGTTCATTGATAAAATGTGTGCAGGATACTCCATGAAGGCCAAGGAAATTATGAAAAAGGATTTGCATGATATAACGGAAGTTGGTGTACCATATAATCCTGAGTACCCTCTAGGTGAGTGCAAATTGGGTATTTATTTAGAGCTAAAAATTCGAATCCGAACATTTTTATGCATATTGCCGTGGATACTATCAGGCATGCAAATCATATTTCGCAAATCCAGATTTGTGCTGAGACATATTTAGGTATTGATATATTCGTGCAATTCCATACTCCGGAAACTATTTGATCATATTATTTTCATTAAGAAATTATGTACTTTATAAATAACTGCACTTTTCTAGTGTATGTAAGTCTTGACACTAATTTTCTACTAAGATTAATTTCATGTAAAGAATAAAGAGAATAGGTCATAGGTTTCTGGTCGCTCCTTGAAATATTTACTCAATTTTGAATTCGTCTCTACCCATCGTTTTTATCATTGATTTTACAGCTTGTTGTTGGTTTGCTCTACTCGACTACTAAGATATAGTAGGCCACCCACCTAATTTATAGAGCTCAGCGAAAATTTGTCGCCTGCTATTAAAACTTTTCCTCAGTGTTCCTCTGAAATCCCATTTGTTAATATTTTGTTTGTCTCGTTTTGTTAAATTATTTTCGGTCCTTCCTCTGCCCAGGAGTATGTCTATTATGACAAAGGTACTTTTGAGTCATATTTCTAAAATGTGAATAAATTATTTCAAAATAACCGCTATTGATTTGCAATCAAAACTGTATTTCTATTTTATATTAGTTAGCTTCACACGAACCACGCCAATTTATTATTTTGTCTTCTGCCTGTTAACACTTACTGCTTGAGCACTGCCGAAGTTTTTTACTTTCGTCGTTACGGATTCTTACGGATTGGGTTCATTATTTTTATTCTAATAAATTGCAGGTTGTGATGAAAACTTTCCACAATCTTCGATTTCGAAAAACGTTGAAGAGTTAGTGAATCTTTGCGTTGAACTACTGGAAAAAGCCGCTGTGGCTTCACCAGGCTGCAGTGCCATACTATTTACCAACGTCTTAAATATTTTGTCGACATATTGCGCTTTTGTACAGGAATTTCACAAAGCTTACTTAGCAACGCTACCGCAACAAATCGCCGTCTTTTTGAATAACTGTCTTTATATGGCCTATAATTTGGATAAATGGGATAAATCATATTCCAAACAGTTGGAGACTGTTCTGGAAGTCGGCAATTTTACAATGGAAGCAAAAATAATTTCGGCACAAGGTCGAGAAGTATTCAATAAGTACATCGTAGCCCAAGTGAAACAGATAAACGAGATAATGGATGGAGCCGAACTCGATGTCCTTGCTCTAGAAAAATTAAGCCCCAAAACAGAGAAGTGTATACGACAGTGTTTGAGACAACAGGAACTCCTTCGAACCGTTTGGCATAAAGTGCTTTCGTACGAAATATATAACAAGAACATTGGAATTATTGTAAATGCTTTATGCAAACATCTCATTACCGCTATAATCAAATTCGAAGACATTCAAGCAAACGTATCAGAGAAGCTGATCGATGTAATAAAGTTGATTCTAACCAGAGCTCCCAAGCTATTTATCGATGCGAATGAAATTACACTGTATGTACCTCTATGGTATAAACTAAACGAGCTTACTTTTGTACTAAATTCAAATTTGGTAGACATTAACGATAGGTGGGCAAGTGGGAAAGGACCTCTGGCTTTACAATTTGAACCAACTGAACTGAGAGGACTTGTTAAAGCGCTGTTTCAAAATACAGACAGGAGGGCGACGGTTCTAGCTAGAATTTGTTAGCTGAATTTAAGCGGATATGTATTTTTGGTTGTTGGATGAGTATTTCTAAATATGTTAAGTTTCCAATTTCTCGTATTACATTTATTAATATAATTAAATACAAATGTTTTAAAACGTTCAGTTTTTCTGTGATTGGTATCAATAGTAATTTGGGTTGTAACTTGACATGTTGTTCATAGGAAAGTTATTGATATATTTTTCTATTCAGTCGCTTTAGAAATATGTACCTATTAAAAGTGTTTGTAACTGTTTTTTGCTTTCTTTTTCCATGTTTTGGCTGGAAGATTTCCTGTTGCGTAATTTAACATGCCTATGTATAGTTTAGTAGCAAATTTGAAATTGAATCTACGGGAAATAGAGTCAAAAGGTTTTAATATATATTTCTTGTAGTGTTCAGTAATCCCCTTAAAAGAATATAAGTCAATTTTGAATCAATCCGTAAATACAATAAAATATTCGTCGAGAGAAAGTTCGTCTCATCATATTACTTTAACATTTTGTTGATGTATAAAACTTATTACTAATGAAGCACATTTACCAGCTACTCACTCGATTTAATTGATGAGGCCTAAGATTCTAGAAATAAGCACAATCACTATATTCTTTTCCCGGAAATAAATTTTCATCTCAAAAATTAAAACCAGGATCACATCTCGGAGCGTTGAAACTTAGTCCGATAGTTGCGTTGAAAACACCGTGAAACCAGCGATATCCATTCCCAGTTCGAGCGGTAACAAAGCGAACTTGATTGACAGTTTGACAATTACTATTGACAGCCTTTCAACTGAAAATTAACTTTAAATTGATGCCAAATAAATCCATTAATTTGTTTTTATCTTGTTGATACAGATTTAGAGTCAAGTTCAGTGACGATTACAGAAAATCCTAAAGTATAGTTGTGTATTCCAAACACGTGAAAAGTGACCATCTGGCAAACAAGTGTTCGGTTTTGCATCACCAGAATCAGAAAGTTTGGTTAGAAAGCACGTTTTGTTTTCGTTAGATTTATAAAAGTTATTTGGACGCCGAAATCAGCAACTTCTATTTCGTATTAAGTTCGGATATATCATGTTAAATTAATACATAGTTTCAACATGTATCCTGCTCCAAATAGGCACCCGATTTCGGCGGTAAGTATCCTAATTAAGTTTTTAGTAGTAGGAGTGCACAGGGAGCATCACCTTTACCTAAAAATGCAAGCAAAACGCTTGTAAGCTTTCGAATATCTGAACGAACTTTTGTTCAGCTGCACATTCTTGCTGGGGTACATTTTCGTGTGATAATTTATTACATTGCATAAACAATATAAACATTAACAATCCATAACTACTTACATGTTACCTCCAATGTGTCTTTGCGTTACGAATGTGTGTTCTGTCCTTTTATTGCTGGGAGCAGCAAAACAATGTACAATTCTTGTTCAATACATTGCAAGCTTTTATTTATACATAGGTACCTACTAAGTACTTAGTTTAAACACTCTTTAAGAGCAGCATTTTCATCTCTGGTAACGTTCCCCAATATCAATTTTTGCTCTCGTCTTGCACCTGGTATTTTTATATTCATTTATTCATTTCTTGCTTCTGTTCAAATACAAATGACAGATAGGAGATTGGTCAGATCATGATGGCCAAATAGGAGTACCGTTATGTTCATTTAGATTTCCCGTTATAATACAAAAAATGTTGCAGCGAGGTGATGAGGTTTTCGTTCAACGATTTTTTGAAAAATCACTGTTTTTCATGGGCCAACGACTTATATTATTTTAATCATCATCAGAACTTATGGATTAAGTACTTCAGCTGTTTCTTGGTTGGCTTTTTGAGTCATGTCTCTTTTCTCATACAAGACAAGGAAACTCTTTATTAATTTTTTTATGAGAAACGTTAATCGCCAGAAAAACTATGCCTCTTAAGCAAACCTGTCACCGAACCCTAAACCCCTTACTTAAATCTCGCGAAATTTTCAACATATCAGTAACTTTAAGATGCCGCGTGTAAATGATAAAAACAAACAAAAGGTTGTATTGAATGCCGAAGGAAACAGTGTTTGATATAATTATAATTTAATACTGTCTGAGGAAAGTTTTCATACCTATAATTATTCAAATAAAAAAAACGTAATTTTGCGTAAGTAGAATCAAATAGGTCAATAGTCTAGCAAATCATGCATAAAATAATTGATTAGTTTCGCCAGTTAAGTACTGTAGACTCATTAAACCATTAATTTTTTCTCTAAAATGAAAAAATTCAGTCTCGCATTCAATTAATATGCGCAATAGCACATTACGTGCAGTTAAATTGGAAATCTAAGTAAACCTATAAAAATATGTAAAATTTTATCGAACAATATATTAAGACAAATGGGATAATTTGAGACGACTTCTTGGGACTTGGATTAGAAACTCATAGTCTAGCTCAAGTGATGTTTCCCGTTCTTGTACCACATTTTTTATCAGCTTTTATTACATTTATTAATGTGCACCTGAACCGTAGCCTTAAGAAAGAGTTAACTTATATATTAGCGTTATCAATCTTACTTACTTACATCAATCTGATCCATATGTAAGCCACTAACAAACCAATCTACCAATAGGGACACGTTATGTGACTGACAAGGTTGAGATAATCTTATTATTTTTCATCTGTACATTAATTAATAAATGTTAATAATCCACTGAGCAACCAAAATAACAAGGAATAAAAGCGAGATCTAAAGCAATATGAGTCGGATCTAATTTAACAAAATATACTAATCACTGTTATAATGATAAATCACATAATACATCCATTAAGCAATGCAAGAAATGAATATGTAATGAAATAATCGACATATACATTTGTCTTCTGGTATTACGTTTCATTTGTCTGTGATACTTCCAAATACTTTTGAACATTTACTTCCGCGACTTTTGTTCTGATACTTGCCGATTAAATTCACATATGCTCAGAAAGAGCCAAAATCTCCGTAATAGTGAAACAATTACAGCAAAAATCTATCGCCTAACATACGATTGAACAGTGCCGTTTTTGAAGTGTGACTGTTTCCGTGAATTATTTAAATTGATTAATATAGTATGGTACTGCTATTTTAAAAATATCCAGAAAGGAAATAACCGAATCGGTTGTTTTATCTTAGTTTTCAGGAGAGGTGCGGCTATAAAATATATCGACAGGAGATTTAAAGTTTTATAATTATATACTTATTACTCACCTACGTGGTAAAAGCAAAGCGCATTTAACCTAATCTCCCTAATATTAGTAAAAAGAAACGCGTTTTGTATGTTTTGGTATAAACAACACATTATTGTGTAATTTCCTAACATTGCGATTCAGATATAACTTAGGAGCCAAATCAAATCTAAAGATCAGTCATGTACCGTAGTTAAAAATGTGTTCATTTAGCCCTATGTTAATAACAACTAAACCGCCATAATTCGCTTCAATAAAGTGTTGCTGAAACTGTATACTATTCGCATAATAAATTTCACCAAGGGATTTGTTAGTGAGAGTGAGATGTAATTAATTGTGGCAAAATGCGAGATCCTGGTTTAATGTTTAATTTATTCCTTTCCATTTTTGGTTAATTTATTAAAATAAAGTACAGATCCTTTTTTAACTGTACAAGGTTGCAAAAATGTAGAGTAGATATCAATTACTTAATTAATATATAATTAATAAATATATCAAATGTCGTATAACTAATTTTTGTTTAGAAAATGTACATTATTAATATTCAATAAACGGACGAATAATTAAATGTGCACTCCTATGTTTTAAAAATTTTTGACAACCAAAAGTTTGTAAGTAAGTATGTACTAACGTTACAATAATTTCAACTTTCAAACAACCGCGCGAAATTAGCTTATTTTTTTCTGTACGTATCTCATTTTGTTGATGAATTGCACGGAACAACTTAATTACATTAAATTGTCTATCTAACGACCCCAAGAGGATAAATTTATCGTCGAGTCCTTTTAATCACAAAGATGTTAAGATTTTAATGCATTTTTAAATAAAATTAGGGTCGTTCGAGACTCACTGCATAGATAGTTCGATCATTTGTTAAAAAACCCAATTAAGAAAATAACTTACTTAGAGTTTCATCAAGCTTTTAATATTTTTACACGGCTTTTAAATGAATATTTTCGTCTTCGCTTCAGCGCTTTTCTCGTTATTCGAACATTAACACAATTATTGGCGGAAATTACTTCTTATACTTTGAATTTTTGACTCTCTCTTCCATGTTACTTTTTGGCTTTATGTGTAGTCGTTCTGTGGACATTTTATCTTTAAAATAATTGTGTGCACGCATTGTGCATTTTCAGTAAAAACTAGTGGTCAATTAGTCAACACTTTAATCTATTGCTATATTTATCACTTCACAGTTAAGACCGAAAGATTTTGCAAAGAAAACCACTAAAATTAATTAATCATTTACAGCCCAATCCATTCACCCTACAGAATTTGCTATCTCTTTAGCAATCCTCACTCCTTCACCACCATAGACGTACTTAACTACCTTTATTTTCAAGTTGTAGGTTCCGTGCTAGGATTTAATAGCTGATTTATTTATTCGATATGTAATTATTTAATTCATCATCTTTGAATGATTAAAATAGTGTAAGTACTAAACAGATTTTTAACATATGTATTTTGGTATCCCTTAGAAGAGCACACTAGGAAGCTGTTTTCTATAATTTTGTTACTTTTTCGGTATCTGGAAGCGATCTTCTCATCTACTTCTAGTTGGTTGATATATGACAACAGCAGTTTTTTTCTAAATTTATTTGGTGCATTTTCGGGTTTAAAAATTTTTTTACACGGTTACATGTATACAAGTGCTTTATTAATTTTGACCCGTTATAAATTACTACCCATTATTATTTGAAAGTTTCGCTTGCTTTCGAAAATGAGGCATAGACATATGTTTGTAGGAAGAGTCCTGGTTTTATTCGCGGGACCTGGAGTGTATTCTAACAAATAAAAAAAACTTTTTGTTAAGTAATTTGACTTTAACCCTTTCTGGTGCGTTCGACAACCATTTCCAATCCGGCACTGAGTGTATTTCATAATATTGTACCGTGGATGACCGAGTATCAAACTCTTTCTTCAGCTTCCAACTTTTATTCACCTCGGTATAACTTTAAATGCGGAACAGGAACAAACTAACTTCAAAATTATCGTCAACTTCACAAACAATAACAATAACCGACGGAAAACTCGCTCTTCCGACTCGCGGTGTTCAACCT